AATATAGCATTTGTAGTGTTACCTTCCGTCGCATGAACTCCGGCTTGAGGAGGTACCCGCAGCGGCGGTTGTACTCGAAGGTGCCGAGGTTCAGCTGCATCGCTAAGTCCAGGGTCTGATAGTTGAGGGCCACCAGCTGGCAGCCCGCGTTCCAGAACACCTGCAGACCACAATGACAACTATCAGCTGTTATAAAAGGCGAAACATATATAGGCTGTTCCCGTGACATTTCATCCGCATGTAATCAAGAAAATTTTATTTTATTTTTTACATTTGTCAAATTATCAATTGCAAATCTCAAAATGACATGACATGATGACAAACTTGCTTCCTTGATGTTGGCAGCAACTTACGGTCTCTTTCCCACATTAGGGGTTTTATCCAAAATATTTAACACCTAGGTTTAATGGCGTAAAATTAAAATATTATAGCCAAAAGCGTGAAGCAAGTGCAGGGTTTTTTTTTATTAAAAAAAGAATTATTTTACGTTTTATTATAATAGTATAGATATAGTAGGAAATTGACGATAAATTAGTGTTTAGGTAACTATTCAATACCAAACACCATGTTACTATGTTTGGTATGAAAAGGTCACCAGTCGAATCGGTGGTATTCAATATGTTCGCACTTTGAGTGCTTTCGCTGCGTAAAAATGTTTGTATGTGTAGGTAAGATGCACGATTTGTATCTTCTTCCTCGTTTACTTATTAGTATACATTAGAGGAAGTCTGAGAGTATCCCCAGTGGTATAGAAAGGAGTAAAATGTTAGCTTGGTAGGGGCATGTTATGATGAATCGCAAAGAAGGACGTTAGTTATGGTACCCCGGTAGAGGTAGACGTAGAGAGAGATAGATTGTGAAAAGGTGGCATTATCAAGGAGTTACTGAGATGACGTATGATAGAGTTTTTTTTTATAACTTAAAGTTGGCAAACGAGCAAGCTGCCACCTGAATCCATCATAATGGAAAGCGATAGCTGCCCATCCGCAATTGCAGATGCGTGACCTCTATACGACGGAGAAGGAGACGCACAAAAAGAGGACATTTCCCCTTCT